TTGTAACAAAGGACTTGCTATGGCGATCAGAAAACCTTACACTTTGTAACAATGGATCTGCTATGGCGATCAGAAAACCTTACGTATTGTAATAAACCTGTTTTTTTTTAATATTATCAGAAAGCTAAAGGCAGTCTCCTGCTTCCTCATACAAATATTAATTTACGTTGTTTAACATGCTGTGAATCACTAGATATAATATTTTAGCGTGTTAGACTTACGTAGCAAGTGTATGTTCACTTGTTAACCTTTTCTTGATATTTATAATCATCAAAGTTAATAAAAGGATATTAAGGTGGCCAATACTCCCTTTTTTAGTTCTTAAAACCATCGAATGAATTCCTGACATGAAGTGGTGTTGAAGTTTTCTAATAATCACGCACACATTTTGCTTGTTTGAATTTCGCGCTAACCGTTTCTAATTACAAAGTGACAGAATAAAGACAAGGCAGCTAGTCAACACCACCCGCCGCCGCAAACACTTTATCAATGAAAAGTGGGATTCACCATAATTTATAGCACCCTCTCGGCTGAAAGAGCGGGAATGTTCGGTGGCTGGATTTGATCCCGCAACTAAAAGTGCCATAACCAACAGGCCATGCCTCGCTCTATCCCACACACACAAGAACATTTGTTTGTTTGTTATTAAATACCACAGGTATCGAAACCCGGTTTTTAAGTTTTTAACGATATAAGCCTTCAGACTTACAACTGAGCCACTGGAAGGAGGAGGTGCACATTTATTTATAGTGTCAATAATTGTGATAAAATATTAGTAGATGATAGATCACATTGTATAGGATAGTTTGTTATTATTGGATATAAAATAGACAATTTGTTTTGCTTTTCATAACATGTATAATCCCTGTAAAAATCAACTCTAGTTTTGTGTGTTTTTGTCTGTCAATTCTAAATCACAATGTGCTATGGATAATGATATGTTGTTACAATATTATCTTTTTGTTTTTGGTTCATTTTTTATAACACCACTAAAATGTTAAGTCTAGGGGTTATTAGGCTTAATGTACATATAAAATTAGAGTATAAGACAAAACAAACTGTAAGGAAAAATATCCCAGTAAAAAGTATTTATTGTTTATGATCTCATCTTGATAAAGACAAAATTATATAAATTAAGTTTTTCAGGTTGGAGAAATCCATTCTTCTTTTATAAAAACAACACATTGTGTCTTCAGTAGGTACTCTAAATAATTTGGCAAAACTTTTTTTTTTAGCAACATTACTTGTTTTAAAATGACAAATCATACAACACTCATTTACAACACCTAATAATGATTTGGTATGGGCTTTATAGCCTAAAGCATCAGAGCTATCTGTACCAAACATTCATATTTAACTAGATGTACTTGTGCAGGGTCCCCAAAAGTGTTCTCTTTCAAAATTAAATAAAACTAAAATTAAGAGTAACAAATATTATTAATTCTTGCTTTTGAAATTCATATGTCATTCTGTGTTGTAGCCTGCAGAGTGCGTAATTCATAGCATGCGCACATTTTACTGATGTCACAACAGTAAAATTTCAATGCTAAGCATCACTTATGTTATAATTTTAATGTCTACTGACTGACTGACAGACAACGCACTACTGTATAGTGGGGCAAAAGGTTAAAACAGGTGACCCCTCCAGTTAGATAAAAGAAGGAAGCAAGTAAAATACATATCAAAAATGTCCTTGTTTTTTTTATTATTGTTTCAAACAAGGTTAAAAAATTAACTAAAAGTAAATCGCCAATGGCCTATAAAAAAGCTAAAAATACAATGAATCTGGACAGTGTCACCATCACCATAATAATGAACTAC